AAATTGCATTTTCTACCCTGAACTTGTCGAGTACCGAAGTGCATGTATTTCTCAAAGTTCTTGAACAATACTAAATTATAAGAAAATGACTGTAATGTCACGCAATGAACAACTAATTCCAAAAAGAAAACCGGATTTTTGGAATAAAAAATAGCCAGTGGTGGTTCCGCTCTATGAATGATTACCCAGGTACCACAGGCTGAAAGCGTGAGAGTAGCAGTGAGTCTTACTTAGTAGGTCATCCCATACAAAAAAATAGAGACATATAGAGGAATGGCAGAAAAGCAAAGGCAGCGGGCTACTATACCATCTGGAAGGTAGTACCTTTAGCTATGCATCCGTGAAATTTTCGAAATTGCGGCTCGAATCACGAAGTATGAACCTTGCCTAAGCTATGAAAAATTATACCATTGCACCGTCGTAAATTGTTTTTGATGACAATAGCCGCCTCGAGATGGAGGCGGAAGTTCGGGTCCCCGCCTCATAGCAAGGCTTTTGCCCATTGTAATAATAACTGAAGGCTTTAATCGCAGTAATGAGGGGAAATGCAGTAGTAAAGAGAAGAAAGAGGAAAAGGTCATGCGCATGTCAGGGGAATGAACCACATTGAGCATTTTTTCAGGGCTAGGAAGTCGAAACTTCACAGGGCAGTTTCAGCATTGCTTTGCAGTAGCACTAGCTCTCCCAAGTAAGCCGAGAAGCGCCGAATTTTTGAATGCCAGGAGGTCATTAGGTCCAATATGAGGAAGGTAGAATATCAAAGAAGAAATTCAGATGTTCAAATATTAGTCCTAACGACCTATCAAAACAAGATTTGCCAAAGGAGATCACTGTGGTCCCATCCTAGCCTTTGACTGCCAAAGATATATATTTCCATGAAGTCATTAAAGTAAATACTGTGCGTGTAAGGACTAGACATGCCATGAACGGTAAGAAAGTTGAAAAAGAAGGGCAGAAGCTCTAATGCAGAATGATTTCCTACTTTGCATTGATTCCGAGCACGGCGTTGTCGACAGTGTCCATTTTGTGTCGTCGCAGACCGTACAGGT